AAAAAAAAAAAAAAAAAAAAAAGAGCAGGGACAGTAGTGAGCATGTGGTCCCGAAGTCCCCAGGTGGGGGGGGGAGTGGGCATTTAGAGGCACTTCTTCAGGGAGGGGCCATCTTCCCTTTTGGTCAGGAAGCTCAGGGACTAGAGGACCCCTGCCGACGTTCCAGGGTCCAATGAGGGAGTCTGCTCTTGGGGTGGGGACGGGGAGCCAGAGAAGTGTCCTGAAGGAAAGGTGAATGTAGTCCCTGGACAGCAGGGTGCCCTCATAAACCAGATCGTGTGCCTCGGGATGGATCCAGCTCCAGGAGCCAGGAACCAGTGTGGGCTGGAACACAGGTGGCCAGGGCCTCTTCAGGGGCACACGGTTCACACACCCAGCATAGAGAGGTACATGATGTTGGTGGCCTCAGTCCCCTCCCCCGCCCCAGCTTGGCTCCAGCTGGCAGAAGACTGAGTTTGGGGAGAACCAGCCCAGCATCACTGACCAGGTGAGCAGAGCGGTCAGTCGGGCTGGGCAGCTGGCACCACCCATGCCTTCTCCTCCCAGGCCAGACTGCTGCCACTCCCCTCCCCTTGGTTAGGTGAGTCCCTGAGGCCCACACAGGGCTGTCTCTGATTGGGTAGGCCTGGGCTGGGTGCCCACCTCTGGGGCTATCACTGAGGCCCAGGGGCCTGCACTGTACTGATTGGCTGATGCCTGGGTTGGGGCAACGCCCCTTCTAGCACTACCCAGATCCTCCTCCACCCTGCAGCTCTCCAAGCCAGGCCTGGGCGCTGTGCTGCCTCGTGGCAGTGGGGCAGTGGTAGAAGATGCTCGGGTGGCACAAGCATGGCTGGCAAAGGGGTAGGGGCCAGGGCTCACAGAGGTCTCAGAAACCACTTACTGCTGCTGGACCCACTAAACAGCAGAGACTCTGGATGGAGGGGCCTATTGTTCCTTGGGCACAGTAGGGAAGTGACACGGAATGCAGCTGGACTACAGGGGGCACCGTTCGGCAGCACCCGGGCAGCTGTGGGGGAGGGGAACCAAGACCAGAGATGGTAAGCTCACGATGGGTTGAAATCCCAGCCTTGGAACTGTGCATCACCAGGCAAGTTAGTCAGCCCCTCTGTGCCTGTGTTTCCCATCTGTGAAGTGCAGATAATCACACCCTTGTGGCTCAGTGACCAGGTAATGCCTGCGAGTACAGTTGTGCGACTGTCCTAAATTAATGCACACCCTATAGGCAAAGGGTTCCAAACAGGACTCTGAGATGAAGGAGACATAGGGAACCCTTTGGGAGGCTTCCTTCCTGTGGCTGTGGCTCCCTTGACCAGGACAGCAGGCAGCAGGGAAGCTTGGTGCTGGGGTGGGACAGGCCCAGGCCATCAGGACTGGGAACCAGAGGAACTGCAGTCCTGCAGCCTAGATCCGAGGTTCCCGGGCAAGGTATGGAATCGTCTGGATGCCCCAACCTGCCCCCTGAACCCCAGCTGCACCCAGGAGCAGCAGGGCTCTGGGCCCCAAGTCCCACTGATGGGGGGCCTGCCACAACCTAATTTCAGGTCTTTCCCCCACACGGGAAGCACAGTCCCCTGAGAGTCACAGCACAGTGTGCCGCTGACATCCCAGATGACACTCGGAACCTGATTCCGGGCTGGGGAAGCCCATCTTTTCTCCTGGGGGTCTGCTCCTTTCCTGAGTCTGCTGCAAGGAGTCACCGCAGACTTGGGGGCTTAAAAACAGCAGGGGCATCGTTTTTCCACAGTCCTGGAGGCCAGAGTCGGAGGTCACTGCTTCACCTGGAGGCTGAAGGGAGAGGCCTCCCTGCCTCCACCCCCTGGGGTGCCCTTAGCTGAGCTGCAGCTCTGGAGCCTCTCTGGTCAATGGCTGTCCCCTCTGCATGTGGCCAAGACTGCCCCTGCCCCACTCTGATGGCAAATGGGCCCACCTAGGTAACCCAGGAGGCATGTCGACTCAGGCAGTGGGGTCCTTCTCTGCCATGGGAGGTAACACCCACAGCCCCGGGAGTCGGTCAGGGGCTTCTTTTGGGGGGTGATTTACAGCCGACTCCAGGGATCATGAGGGGAGGGTTAGAGTACTCAGGAGGAGCTCCAGGTGGGGACGATTCTGTGTGCACGTTTGAGAGTGCGGAGAGGACGCGGAGCGGAGCGTGTCTGGAGACCTGAAGCCTGGCTCTCCTCCTTGCTCTCAAGCAGGTGGAGAGCAGGCCCTGGTTTTCTCTCTGCCCATGCCACCAGTTACCTGGGTGGACGCAGCCTGGCCGCTACCAGCCCTGCGCAGTGCTGTCATCCCCCACTGGGCAGCTGTGGTCACAGGTTCGTGTGCACGGCTCAGCCAGCTTTCGGGGTCAGTGTGGGCTGCAGAGCCTGGGCTACCGGGAGGGGTCTGTGTGCCCCTGGCTGAGCCCAGCTCTGCTCTCCTGGGTGTCTCTGGCCCTCTAGCCTGGTTCCATCACAGCCCTCCTGAGTCAGCCCTGGACACGATACCAGTGTTGTCCATGTGCAGGGCTGTCCTCCTGGACGGAGAAAGTGCCCTCACTCTACTTCAAGGTGTCTCCAAGGATCTTCGACAGGTCCAGTTTGAACCCCCCTTTCTTCCTCAAAGCATTGTACAGACCACGGAAAGCGCCCCCAAGCCCCAGTTGTGGTGCCCAGGACAATCTGACTGTTAGTTGCTGTGTCTGGACTCAGGGGATGGGATGGTTCTAGCTACCTGGGAAACAGTCCTGTGAGATTCATCCTCGTGTGAGGCTGGGTCCAGTCGATGCCCTCTGTTGGGTTAAACTCCTCTGGGAGGGGCACTGCCCAGGGCCCTGGGGAATCCTGCTTCAGCAAGCCACGCCATCTGGGTTAGGAGCCCAAAGGTCGCAGACTTTGCAGGTAGATCTGGGTGGGCCCCAGCACCCTTGGCTCCGCTGGCTCTGGCTTTTCTACCAAGCGGGAATGTTCTATACTGGGGCTCTCGGGGCAGCCTGATGGGTGAGTGATTTCAACCATCAAACCAATGAAAATCCCATCTACGGGGTGCACAGGGTGGGCACCTGGTACCTGGGGGGCTTGGCTTATACACAGAACACCAAAATATGACCAGCAGTCCTCCAGCGACACATCTATTGAACTTCTCAGTGGGAACACAGGTGTGCTCTCGGGTGCCCTGTCACATCAGGATCCCGTCCACCACACAGGGCACCTTGCTCCTCTCCCCAAACCCAGAACGGAGCCCAGGAGAGCCTGCGACTCGAACCAAACAGGAGGTGGGTCTGTAGCATCACAGGACATCCAGAGCCAAGCAAGTGAGAGTAATTGGAGGAGAACACAGGTAGAAGAGGGAAGTTCCAGAAGAGCCCTGTGTCATTGTGTAATGGCTCATTTATAAAGAGGAAGTGCGTTCTGAGAGAAATACTTGAAATATTCTCGTAGGGGAAGAAAGCAGTTCTTCACGAGCGCAGATGGGCCCTGGGCGGGCAGCGTCCCTCGCTGTCCATCTTGAGCCAGCAGCAGGAGCTCCTCTTCTGAAGCCAGGGCCGAGTGCCTGCTGCCGGGGAGAGGGGCACAGTAAGGGCCAGACCCAGAGGGGCCCGTGGTGCCTGGCTCAGGAAGGGGCCAGACTGGGCCCAGGAGGGAGGGAGCTGTGTGTCCACGGCACAGCCTGGCAGGCGCCTCTGGACAGCTTGGGAAGGGGGCCAAATGCCGCAGGTTGTGGGCCAGGGTCAGGAGCACCTGCCACAGGTGACTTCTGTTTTGTTGCGGGCTGGTTTTCCGTTTGGGTCGTCCTGGGTTCGGTGGGTAGTGGGAGGGACTGAACCAGGCCTCACGCCTGCTGGGAAAGAGCTCCACCCCTGAGCCACCTCCCCCGACCTTTCTACTTTTAATATTGAGACAGTGTCTTGCTAAGTTGCCCAGGCTGACCTGGGCGTGTGCCACCATGCCTGGCCACATGTGACTTCTAAGGTGTCATTCCTACCCCACTGCTGCTCCCTGGGTGAGCGGCTGGCGAGGAGTGCAGCCTGGCTCCCCCTGCAGGCCATTCTGGGCCAGAGCGACGCCCGTGCCCTGCTGCTGGACTTGGACCCACAAAGTCACACAGACACCAGGGAGGGACCTGCTTGGCCACCACCAGATATTGATGTGGTGTGGTGGACGGCATGCAGGCGGGGCTGTAGTCAACAGGCTCCTGAAGAAAAATTAGTTTGAAAAAGTGGCTCACCTCACCTTGGCACAAAGCCAGGGAGGGCCAGGAGGGCGTGGGGTGGGGAGGGGCCACAAGCACCTCCCTTGACAGGCACGGGCCCTGGGGCTGTGCAGGGGCTGGGAGCCAGGAGAATGCTGAGGCTGGAGGGGAGTGGGGAGAAGTTCCCAGAAACTCACTCCTGGGCAGAGGAGAATGACTTAGCAGTCCTAGGAGGCGTGGTCCCTTTGGCTGAGCACGTGTGAGCCTGCGTGAGTGTGCAGGTGTGCAGGCTGGTCCACCAGGAGCGTGTGTCTGTGAGCCTGCGTGAGTGTGCAGGTGTGCAGGCCGGTCCACCAGGAGTGCGTGTGAGCCTGTGAGTGTGCAGGTTAATCCCGGAGCGCGTGCCTGTGAGCCTATGTGAGTGTGCAGGTGTGTGTGTCTGAGCATGCACAGGTGTCCTGGGGGTGGTGCAGGGTGCGGGGCTTCAGGATGCGGGGCCACATGGGGCACATTCCCGAGGATGARGCAAGTGCTCTGCCCAGCATCAGGCTTTGCTCTGGGGCCCGGGCACCGCCTTGAGGTCCTGAGGCAAGACCCTGGGAAGTGCTGGGGTAGAGAGACTTCAGCCTGCGGAGACCACCCAGTGGCTTGGGCATGTGAGGTTGGCGGGTGGCCCCAGGCCTGGCTAGACTCAGCCTGACGCCCCAGGGCTGCTCAGCTTGGCTCTGCTGGCAACCCACTGACTCCAAGCCCGTGTCCCCCGTGAGCCCTGTGCCGGCTGCGTCCCTCCAGCCTGGAAGCCTCAGGGCCCAGGAAGTACCTCTTCACAGCGGGGATGTTGGTCCACACGCGCACGGCATTCTGCAGGGCGCTCCCGCGGACGTCCTGGAGGATCACGGGCTCTGTCTAAGGGACGGAGGGCGACACCAGTCAGCCTGACAGCAGTAACCTCCTCCCCGTGGGTCCCCACGGTCTGCAGGTCTAGGCTAGCACGCCTGCCCAGTGCCTCCTCTACCTGACAGACCTTTGTCCTCACAAACTGCCCTCTGAGAAGAGAAGCAGGGCCATCGTGTTCTTAACCGGCAGATGTTTGGTCCCACGGGCCAGTGGCCTGCGGTCCCTCAGGGATCAGGAGGCTTTGCTGGCCAACAAGGGCTCCCCAAAGCRTGTCCACCCTCCTAGTCTTGGCAGCAGTCACACAGGCTGTCTCTAAGGCTGGTCACGGTCTCTGCAGAAGCCCAGAGAGGGGGAGGCAGAGCCGGCGTGTGCCACAGCGCGGGGGAGCYAAAGAAGGGAGAATCGGAGGCGGGAGGCCCTTCTGGGTGACCTGACTCCACCCCCCTGATCCGACAGCTCCCYGGGGGAGCAAGCGGCCCACCAGGGTCACAAGGGTGCACGAGCTGGCCAGAGCCACACTGAGGTTTCTTGCCCTCAGCAGAATGAGGCCCACAACCGGGTGGGATGGCAGACGACCCAGGACTTTCCTTCCGTGCTACTTTGAACTCCCAACCTGTGTGCCAAACAAGGGAAAGCGGCATTGTGGCAGCCCTCTGTCTGTGCCTGGCTTAGCAACGTGGTGCTTCCGTTGGGCCCACAAYTACTGACGGCAGGAATAGGTTTTTTTTTTTTTTTTGGTAAAACAATGCAATGTACCAATCTGATCCCGACTGCTGATACATGACATTATGTTGGTGTTTTTTTAAATGCTCAGATTTCCTAATAAAGAAGAAAGCAAGCAACAGGGTCGTGAGGCCACTTTGCTTAACTCTGTAGAAATAACCTAAAARTTTAAATGGATCCTATTCTAGGAAACGTGACCTCCCGACACTGACCGCGGAGACAGGAGATCTCCACGGGCCGTTCACACAGCAGCTGTAGCTGTGGCACAGAACGCCGTCTGCCTCAGTTATTTTAGGGAGCAGGTCCAGCATAGAGACCACAGCCCGCCAGGGGCCAGGGGACAAGGGAACCGCCACGACCCCTTTCCCGCTGTGGGTGGAACCGTGACGGCGTGCCCTCCCACAGTGCAGGCGCTCACCACCAGGAGTCTGCTCTACACTGTGTCCTCTCAGTCACTCTCGAGGACAAGACTCCCCAGGTAACCCACAGACACCGAGACCACCGTTGATAAAAACGCCTCAACCAGCGAGAATCAGCAGAAACTCCCCGCAGCCTACAGCACGCTGCGCCTGGGCCTCAGAGCCAGGGTCCCTGCCCTGTGGGGGGCAGGGGGACACGGGGTATCCCCATCACGGCCATGGTCCCCGAGACTGGCAGCTCCATGAGAGAAGAGAAAGAGATCGCAGGTATAGGACCAGGAGGAACACTGTCACCGTCACTGTCTGAACACACACAGCAAGTCTCACTGAATCGAGTGAAAACCCTCAGCCCACACGGCCATCCAGCCACCGGGCAGCGGGGGCCATCAGCACAGAGGCCAGTTGCACGTGTACAGACCAAGCCAGTTGGAGGGCCAAGAGGGAGGTGGCCGCCAGGAGCAGCAGGCAGGAGACCCGGGGTATGTTAAGGACTGAGGGAGTGCTCCCACACCGTGCCCACTGCTGAGGGACCGCTCTGCGAGGTGGTCGGTGACACCTGTGGCAGCCACATTCACCCTCTGACCAGAGAACCCCTCTGGAGTTGGCCACGGACGGCACCTCTGTAAGAGCCAGAAGCAGGAAATGCCTGGTCACCCACCCACAGGGAGCGGCCTGCGCCCACCACCCCAGGGATCCACGCAGCACAGGGACAAGACGGAGGGGTGCTGCTGCCAGGGAAGGCCACTGCAGCTGGAGGACCTTGGACAAGGGCAGGCGCCCTGTGGGAGGAGCACCAGGCTGGCCAGGCTGACCCGTGAGGAGGGGTGCACGGGAGGGTCCGGGTGTTAAAATCCCCACTAAAGCAACACCTTCAACTTGAGTCTGTGCTTCTGCACACCCTCCCCCTGCCCCAGCCGAAGCCCCAGCACTGGGCCCCTGCCTGCCTGGCTCACCCTCAAGCCACCCGCAAAACCCCCGGCAGTGGGGGCTGCTCTCGCTGCGCCCGTGGCTGGCCACACTGTCCCYGCCCCGTCGCGTCCCTTCTGGGATCGGAGCATGAACTCCTTCCTGGGTGAGGTCAGGTGGCCGCGACTCCACTGCACTTCCCCTGCCAGAGCCATTCCCAGAGCTCCGCCACGTCTGGCCACGTGGGCTCGGCCACAGCCCGCGGGGCTGCTCTGGTAGTGCCAATTCAGACGCGTGGACAGAGGAGCAAGGCCGTGGTGCCCCTGCCTGTGTGGGTGTGTGGGGTGAGCACATGTATGAGGCACAGAGGGAGCGTGCGTGTGGCATGTAGTATGTGGCACGTGTGAGTCCTGGTGTGTGTGTATGTGTGCAATTGTGTGTGTGAGTCCTGGTGTGTGTGTGTGTTTTTGTGCAGTGTGTGTGTGAGTCCTGCTGTGTGTGTGTGCACTGTGTGTGTGATTCCTGGTGTGTGTGTGTGCAGTGTGTGTCTGTGTGTGTCCTGGTGTGTGTGCATGCAGTGTGTGTGTGTGCATGCTGTGTGTGTGCAATTGTGTGTGTGTGAGTCCTGCTGTGTGTGCAGTGTGTGTGTGAGTCCTGGTGTGTGTGTGTGTACAGTGTGTGTGTGTGAGTTCTGATGTGTGTGTGCGTGCAGTGTGTGTGTGTGTGTGTGTGCAGTGTGTGTGAGTCCTGCTGTGTGTGCAGTGTGTGTGAGTCCTGCTGTGTGTGTGCAGTGTGTGTGTGTGAGTCCTGATGTGTGTGTAATGTGTGTGTGTGTGAGTCCTGGTGTGTGTGTAATGTGTGTGTGTGAGTCCTGCTGTGTGTGTTGTTTTAGTGTGTGTGTGTGTCTTGGTGTGTGTGCAGTGTGTGTGAGTCCTGCTGTGTATGTGCAGTGTGTGTGAGTCCTGGTGTGTGTGTGTGCAGTGTTGTGCGAGTCCTGGTGTGCATGTGCAATGTGTGTGTGTGTGCAGTGTGTGTGTGCAGTGTGTGTGTGAGTCCTGCTGTGTGTGTGTGCAGTGTGTGTGTGTAAGTCCTGCTGTGTGTGTGTGAATCCTGGTGTGTATGAGAGCAGTGTGTGTGAGTCCTGTGTGTGTGCAGTGTGTGTGCAGTTTGTGTGAGTCCTGCTGTGTGTGCAGTGTGTGTGTGAGTCCTGCTGTGTGTGTGCAGTGTGTGTGTATGAGTCCTGGTATGCATGTGCAGTGTGTGTGTGTGCAGTGTTTGTGTGAGTCCTGCTGTGTGTGTGCAGTGTGTGTGTGCAGTGTGTGTGTATGTGAGTCCTGGTGTGTGTGCATGCAGTGTGTGTGTGTGCATGCTGTGTGTGTGTTGCAGTGTGTGTGTGAGTCCTGGTGTGCGCGTGCAGTGTGTGTGTGTGTGCGGTGTGTGTGTGAATCTTGCTGTGTGTGTGCAGTGTGTGTGCAGTGTGTGTGTTAGTTCTGATATGTGTGTGTAATGTGTGTGTATGAGAGTCCTGCTGTGTGTGTTGTTTTAGTGTGTGTAAGAGTCCTGGTGTGTGTGTGTGAGTCCTGGTGTGTGTGTGTGTAATGTGTGTGAGTCCTGTGTGTGTTGTTTTAGTGTGTGTGTGAGTCCTGTGTGTGTTGTTTTAGTGTATGTGTGTATGTGGGCAGTGAGTGTGTGTGTGAGTCCTGGTGTGTGTGTGTATAATGTGAGTCCTGCTGTTTGTGTGCACTGTGTGTGTGTGAGTCTTGGTGTGTGTGCAGTATGTGTGTGAGTCCTGCTGTGTGAGAGTCCTGGTGTGTGTGT